CACTTGCTTCCTCACACCCCTCCTTCCGGGAAAGCAAGCTATTGGTTGTCGTTGGGTATACAAAATCAAGCGCAACTCCGATGGTTCTCTTGAACGTTATAAAGCGTGGTTAGTAGCAAAAGGTTACACACAAGTTGAAGGTATTGATTACCATGATACTTTTTCACCGACTTCTAAAATGGTCACAATACGTTGTTTATTAGCTTTGGTAGCCGCTCAAAATTGGCCACTTCATCAACTTGATGTCAACAATGTTTTTCTTCATGGAGATCTCTCTAAAGAAATTTATATGTCTCTTCCTCCTGGTTTTCAACGACAGGGAGAGAATCTTGTGTGTCGTCTCAACAAATCCTTATATGGATTAAAACAAGCCTCTCATCAATGGTTTGCCAAGTTCTCTGTAGCTATTCAAGGTGCTGGATTTATTCAGTCCAAATCAGATTACTCATTGTTTACTTGTAAGAAAGGCAAATCATTTACTACCTTATTGATCTATGTTGATGACATCATCATAACCGGTAATGATCCCAACGCAATAACTATTCTTAAACATTTTTTTGCATAATCAATTCCATATTAAAGATTTGGGTGGCTTAAAGTATTTTTTGGGCATGGAGCTAGGTTTCTCGATCAAAGAAAGGTATATTTATTTCGCAAAGAAAATATGTTCTGGAGATTCTAAAAGATTGAGGATGTTTGGGAGCTAAGTAGAGCCGTCAAAGTGGGCCGAAACTCGTGGGCCAACCCGGCCCACCTTGAAAACGGGCCGGGCCGAGAAAAAAAAAATTGAAGTTTTATAGTAGGTGGGTATATCTCAACCTGGCCCACTTTGACCCGGCCCACCCGAGCTAAACCCGTGGTAGCCCACCAACACACCATTTTTTTTTTGCAACAAAAATTTAAGCATGATTTGTAGTTAATTTTGTATGATGGGATATTGAAAATTTTTTTATTTTAGACTTTTATCATGATTTGTATTTAATTTTGTATGATGAATTATGACTTATGACTATTAATGATGCTAATTTTATGACTATTATGTTAATTTATAATTAATTTAAAATTTTGAATTTTGTTGATAATATTTTTTTAATTTTTGGTGGGTTGGTGGGCTGGCCCGTATAACCCACCAATCCGTGGTGGGCCGGGTCGGGCCAAATTTTTTTTAAGAAAATCAAAAGTGGGCTGGGTTGGGTTGGCTTGTTTTTAAAGTGGTTCAAGGTGGACCGGCCCACATGGGCCGGATTGGCCCGTTTTGACAGCTCTAGAGCTAAGCTTGTGAATTTTTCCATGGAGCAAAATGTAAAATTGTCAGATGAAGGAGATTTATTGAAAGATCCATCCTCATATAGGCGACTTGTAGGATGCCTAATTTATTTAACTGTTACCCATCCATATATCACTTACTCAGAGATCTGTTACTTATCTATTATGGGGTAGAAGGGTGTCACATATAATCCATATACAAAATCAACAATAATATTAAATATATCAAGTCCACAAAAATTAAAATAATAATAATTTAAATATTTATTTAATTATTACCAATTTAATTATATTTAAATTTGTAATTTAAATTTTTATTATCTAACATTTACGTAACTAAAAATTTGTATATTATTTAATTATTTTAACATTGTTTAACAACTTTTATATTTTAGTTATTTTAATACACCTAGCACTACCAACTAATATTTTATATTTTTTAATTTATTGAAAATAACATTACTGGCTGTATCATTGGGAAAAAGGACCAATCCTTGGAAGCCCCTCCCTCCTTCCCTGCAACTTTTTCATTAGCCCACCAATCAGCAACTATATTATCTCTTCCATCTGCATTATCAAAATTGAATTCTTTAGCAGTAGAAAGAGTCAAGGACTGATCCTTCTCATGAACCGTTGCCTTATCTCCACCCAAAGTGGTTTCCAGTGGTTGATCATTGGGATTTTCAGCAATGACTTGTTTGTCATCACGCTCAGTTTCTATAGAATTTTCTTCTTTGTCTGCTGTTGCTGCATCATCTTTCAGTTTTCAACTTTCACTTGCAGAAAACTATAGTTATTCAACTTTCAATTTCAATATTATATATCACAGTGGTTAACATAGCAAAATTTATAGCTAGAGAAAGTAAACTAAAGCTAGGGGCATGTCGTGTGTGGGCGTTCATTAATTGTTAGGAAGAAAAAAAGTTCAAAAAATCTAAGCAAGATGATAGTTAGTAGTAATAGATCCGGTGCATCTATAATTATTATAATCCTGTTTCCTGTTGATGGAATATAAAGAATTATTGAGTGCAATATAAGCTAGGGGCACTAGTCCTTCATATACATATCATATGTATAATTACACCAACAAGCTTAAATCATCCTATTCTGCTATATCATATTTAAGGCTCAAAGTAGTAACAGATTTAAGTGCATATAAAATGACTATTTTCATTTTATATTTAAGATTATGATTTAAATTCTGAATAACTTAATTACATAATATAAGTCTATAATTTGTGTCAATCAGCATTAAGAGATAATTGAGTTTTTTTTAAGTATATTGAAAGAGTTCCATTACATAGAATCTATATATAAAACTGATTTTTATTAAGTAGGAACTCTAGGAATAGGGTCTACTGTTTTTTCTGCCCTATCTATCCCAAGTTTAGGGGAGGGATAATAAATGGCTATGGTCCCCGTCAAGGCATAAATTCTTATTTATATATAGTAAATTAATGTATTTTGAGATTAATCTAACTAACTAACCCATTAATTATTAATTAGGAATTTAAATCTGATCACTTTGTTGTGCTGACCTGAGACCAAGAGCTAAGGAAATCCATGCCTTTTCCAACTAGGAAGTTCTTCTCCAAGAAGAGTATTCCAACTCATACAAACTTAGCTGATAGATAAGCAATCGATTAAGGTCAGTTTTTCAACAACCGTCTCAAGTATACCTTGAGGGAGAGCAGTCCAATATGCAATTTCCAATTCTTTTTGTCTGTGGTGTATTTTTTTTTTCTGCATTTGGCACCAAGTCTTCCCCCTGAAAGCTTTCAAAGGCAATGATCATGCTAATACATCACCAGAAATCCTCACACTTGTAGTGTGTCTTCCTGTAGCAATTGTCAGTGGTTAATTAATGGTTATAATTTTTTTGATTTGTTGCAGGTAGGCATTCTGTTGGAAGACCAGCCCCCTCAGCATCACTTGATCTTAAGCCTTCAGCTTTCGATTCCAAGGAAAAAGTGTGGACAAGATTTCCCCCAGAAGGATCTATACCGTATGGGGCCGACTCCGCCAAATACCCTGATGTATACCGTATGGGGTTGACTCCGCCGAATACCCTGACCCATGACCGAATGGTCCGAACACCCCGACCTATGACCGAATGGTCATAATACCCACCCGCGCATAGTCGAACGGTTCGCATATCCGAACCTGCTGACCATTCAAGAAATGGAACGGGTCGGTATGCTCGACCAAGTTACGACTTGACACTAGGATGATTACGGAAGGATTAATTTACGTAATAAACCGGTTTAGCCCCCTAAATTCTCGGGGCCCAGTCCTTAAGCACGGCCCAATAAGAGATACTATAAATAGACTCCCTTCGAGGTACGCATTTAACTTTCAACTACCGCATTTATTGTTCCGAGAACTAACTTGAGCATCGGAGTGTCTTTGCAGGCACCCCCCATCTCACTTCGGACTACCCGGACAAGTACGAAGAAACCGAGACCCAAGACCCGACCCGCTACGACTAAGATAATTGAAGTGTGTATCCTAACACAGGAACATTTGGCGCCCACCGTGGGGCCGAAAAGACGTTTTCAGCCCCCTTTTTACTCTACGACTAAGATCAAGACATGGTAGCAACGCGCAAAGGACAATCAGCAACGACTCAACCGATCCCTAATCTCGGAAGCAATCCAGTTATGACCAACCAAGAACGTTACCTGTACGGAATGCCGCAAACACAAACCGAACCCGTAGTCCAAGAGGTTCAGCCCAATACCGACCATGTCCAGCCCGACCTCCACGATGACTTGCGCGCATTGCGCGAAGAAATGGCCACTATCCGAAGACAGAGAGAGGTCGATGCCAGGGAGTTGGCCGAACTGCGCCGCCAGAAAGCCGAGCTTCGAAGCCTTAACCAGACATATGTGCCGTCAACTCCCACTCTCCAGGAGGAGTCAGCGTATCATGTCACGACCGACCGTGTAACTCGAACACCAGCCACCTCTTTGGTAGCTAACAAGGCCGACACCACTACTCACTCCTTGAGGCATCCTTTCTCTCGAAGAATAATGGAGGCAACTTTATTAGACCACTGGAAGAGTATACCGATCGAGAAGTACGATGGGTCAACCGACCCCGAGGAACATTTGAATGTTTTCTTAACTCAAGCAACCCTCTCTACTCAAGACGACTCGGCTCTGTGCCGAATATTTCCCACATCATTGAAGGGTAGAGCTTTGAGTTGGTTCACGAGGCTGCCAAACTCCTCCATTGATTCATTTAGCGAGTTATCATCCCAGTTCACCTTGCAATTCGCGACGAGTAAGCCTTACAGGACGACCTCGTTAGCTTTGGCGGGGGTTCGGCAAGAGAAGAAGGAAAATTTGAGAAGCTTTATGGACCGGTTCAACAAAATCGCCATGGAGATAGGCGACCTTAACCCGGCCGTGGCTTTGGACCGACTGATCACCGCTCTGAAGCCGGGGCCATTTGTGAATAGCTTATGTAAAAAACCGCCATTCGACATGAATGATCTCCGGCGCCGAGCCGAGAAATATATGCAAATGGAGGAGTTGGCGGAGACTCAAAACTAGGCTAGGGCTGAGGAGACCTATAGCAGGAAGGAGCCAGGCCGGGAGCCCACGAAAAAGACGAATGCCGACATCTCGAACGCTCGCCCGCCGAGAGGACCGCGCTACACAGCGTATACTCCCCTCAATGTGAGCAGGGCCAAGGTATTGGAACAGGCCCTCGCATCTGAAATACTGGTGATGCCCAAGAGGGCGAACACACCTCCAAGGGCCAACACGGCTAAGTCGTGCCGATTCCATCAAAACCGAGGCCACTCGACAGAAGAATGCTCAGCGTTAAAGGACAAACTTGAAGACCTCATCAAGCAAGGTCATCTCGGAAAATTTGTGACACCACAAGATCACCAAACAAGAGGGAGAGATCAGCGCCCTCGAGAAACACCGCCGACCAGAACCCGATACCACAGATCTCGATCAACCAAGAGGAGAGATCGCACACGAGGTTCCCGAGAAGACGACAGTCGGCTGAGGAAGATAATAAACACAATAGCCGGAGGCTTCGCTGGGGGAGGTTCCACATCTTCCGCCCGAAAAAGACATCTTCGTGCGATACGATCGGTAAATAGTGTGAATCAGCCGAGAACACCGAGGATGCCACCAATCACCTTCTCCGACCGAGATTTCCGAGGCGTCGATCCCGTCCAAGATGACCCCATGGTGATTTCCGTGGAAATGCACAATTGCATTGTGAAGAAAACATTGGTCGATCAAGGGAGCTCGGCCGACATCCTATACTGGAACACATTTAAGCAACTCGGGATCCCGGAAGAAAGCCTGGAACCATACCACGAGCCTTTAGTAGGATTCTCAGGCGAAAGAGTAATGACGAGAGGATGCATCGACTTGTACACTCGCTTCGGTTTCGACCAAAAGTCCTCAAGAGAGATTAAAATCCGGTACATCGTGGTGCATGCGAACACATCGTACAACATCCTACTAGGCCGACCCTCAATCAATGCATTAGGAGCAATTGTCTCAACCCCTCACTTATGCATGAAATTCCCGTCGAGAGAGGGACAGGTAATCACTGTGCATGCCGACCAGAAAATGGAAAGGGAGTGCTACCTCTCTAGCTTGAGGGTGCAGCCCATCTCCGACCCCTCGACGATGACAAAAGGTGTGAACGCGGTCAAACAAGAGATAACCGACAGCATCGACCTCGACCCTCGGTTGGGGGAAGAAGAACGGATCGAAGCCGCCGAAGACCTAGTCCCATTTCAGCTTGGTTGAGTACCCGAACAGGTCACTCACTTGGGATCCCAATTGAGTGGAATCGACGCGAACCAGGTGAAGCGAGTAGTGCGAAACAATAAAGACTTGTTTGCGTGGACGGCGTCGGACATGCCAGGCATAGATCCAAAGTTCTTGTGCCACCGACTAGCTGTATGCCGGGACGCCAGACCAGTTGCCCAAAAGAAGAGGAAGATGGGAGACGAGAAGAGAAAGGCTGCAAATGCTGAGGTGCAAAAGCTATTGCAAGCAAAGTTCATCCGAGAGGTCACCTACACCACCTGGCTAGCTAACGTGGTGTTGGTCAAAAAGTCGAATGGGAAGTGGAGAATGTGTACCGACTATACCGACCTCAATAAAGCCTGCCCCAAGGACGCTTATCCACTCCCTTGCATCGATCAACTCGTTGATGGCGCTTCCGGACACTCTATTTTCAGCTTCCTAGACGCCTACTCAGGGTACAACCAAATAATAATGCACCCGGCCGACGAGGAAAAAACAACGTTTATCACCGAGAATGCCAACTTTTGTTATAAGGTGATGCCTTTTGGGTTGAAAAACGCCGGAGCAACCTATCAAAGGTTAATGGACAAAGTCTTTCGGGGCCAAATCGGCCGAAACATCGAGATTTACGTGGACGACATGGTGGTAACGTCCAACTCCATGGCCGATCACATAGCCGACCTGGCCGAAATATTTGGTGAATTGCGCAAGCATAATATGAGACTCAACCCCGAGAAATGCACCTTCGGGGTCAAAGGAGGCAAATTTCTAGGTTTCATGTTGTCGGCGAGAGGCATAAAAGCAAACCGAGACAAATGCCAAGCTGTGATAGATATGCGAAGCCCGAGCAACCTCAAGGAATTGCAACGTCTTTCAGGGAGATTAGTCGCCTTGTCACGATTCCTCCCGCGTCTAGGCGACAAAATCAGCCTGATGACAAAGCTTCTGCGAAAGGCCTCAACCTTCTTGTGGGATGAATCGTGCGAAGAAGCCTTCATGGCGTTAAAAGCAGCATTGGCGACGCCACCGATCTTAACGAGGCCTGATCCTTCGAGGCCACTTTTGGTATACCTGGCCGTATCCGACGAGGTAATCAGCTCGGTTTTGGTGCAAGAAAAAGAAGGCATCCAGACTCCCGTATACTTTGCCAGCCGACTCTTACAGGACGCTGAAACCCGGTACCAGCTGATTGAAAAAGCAGCACTCGGCTTAGTGCAACCGAGTTGTTGTCCACACGGACTGCCCTATTTCGAAAGTCTTAGGCAAACCTGAACTTGCCGGGAGAATGATGGCTTGGTCGATCGAGCTCTCGCAGTTCGACATCACCTTCAAGCCGAGAGGGCCGATCAAAGCTCAATGCTTGGCTGATTTCATGAACGAGTTACACCCTCAGGGCCAGTTCGAAGAGCAATGGTGGACCCTCCACGTTGACGGTTCCTCAAATTGCCGAGGAAGCGGAGCAGGAGTCATTCTGGAAGGACCCAAAGGGATAGTTTTGGAGCAATCCCTCCGTTTTCGGTTCAAAGCCTCGAACAACCAAGCCGAATATGAAGCTTTGTTGGCTGGGCTGAGACTAGCCGAGGACATGGGCGCTTCGAGACTTAAATGCTTGACCGACTCTAAGGTTGTGGCCGAGCCAGTGGGCGGTAACTTTCAGGTAAAAGATCACAACATGATGAAGTACTACCATGCCTATCAGAAGTTAAAGGAAAAATTCCAGGAAGTGTCAGTCGACCACATCCCGCGTGAGGATAACGCCCGAGCCGACCAGTTGGCTCAGCTGGCCGCAACCAAGAGGCCGGGCCATTTAAGAACCATCATTCAACAGGAGATTGACCGCCCAAGTGTCGAGACAACGATTGTCGTAAAAACCAAGGCCGACCGTGCCGAGGTCAGCGACCCTCCAGACTGGCGAGATGAGATCAAAGCATTTCTCGCCAACGAAATTACACCAGTCGAACCATCGGAGGCCAAACGGTTAAGAACACAAGCCAGTAAATACGTTGTCATTGCCGATCAATTGTACAGACGTGGCTTCTCTACCCCATTGCTTAAGTGTCTAAACACAGCCGAAGCCGATTACGTGACGAGATAAGTGCACGAGGGTATCTGTGGAATGCACTCGGGGAGCTAGGACGACCGTCTCCAAACTAGTACGAGCTGGGTATTACTGGTCGACTATGAACAACGACTGTGCAGCGTTAGTCAAAAAATGTCAACCATGTCAGAAACATGGCAACTTGATTCACCAACCAGCCGAGCAGTTGCATTGCATTCCCCCGGCATGGCCATTCGCCACATGGGGAGCCGACATACTCGGACCCTTCCCGGTTGCCAAGGGACAGTGCAAGTTCCTCATCGTTTCCATGGACCTCTTCACCAAGTGGATTGAGGTCGAGCCCCTGGCATGTATCTCGGCCCATCAAGTCCAAAAATTCTTGTGGAGAAATGTCATTACCCGATTCGGCATCCCGCATACCCTGGTAACCGACAACGGCCTTCAATTCACTGACCGAAAGCTGAACGAGTTCCTGGTCGGTCTTCGAATACATCACAAGGTCACATCGGTCGAACATCCGCAAACCAATGGCCAAGCCAAGTCTGCCAACAAGGTTATACTGACGGAATTAAAGAAGCGGCTAGGAGAAGCAAAGGGAGCATGGGTCGAGCAATTGCCAGAGGTACTCTGGGCTTACAGGTGCACCCCTCAGTCGACTACTCAGGAAACCCCTTTCCGCCTAGTTTATGGATCCGACGCGATGATCCCGGTGGAAATCGAAGAACCATCATTCCGCCGAGCCCACTTCGATGAAACGAACAACGAGGCCGAGCTTCGGACGAACCTTGACATGGTGGGGGAAGTTCGAGACCGAGCACTAGTAGTCGCCGAGGCCACCAAACAACGTTACAAAAGAAGATTCGACAGCAAGGTGAAGCCCAGAGAATTCCGAGAAGGAGATCTTGTTTGGAGAGTTACCAGTGATGCGAGAAAGGATCCGAGACAAGGGAAGTTCGCCCCAAACTGGGACGGACCTTTCTGAATCTGGCACAACCTGAACAACGGGGCATACAAGCTGGAGTACCTATCAGGAGAATCAATTCCGAGAACTTGGAACTGCTCACATTTAAAAATGTATTATAGTTGATGTATCAGTGCACTCTTTTCCTTGACCGACTCTTTTATCCCTAAGGAGGGTTTTGGGTCGGCAAGGTTTTTAACGAGGCACTTCATTAATAAAATTACAAATTTCATCATGTTTGTTTCCTATTTTTAGATCGCAGTGACCAAGCCCTATAAACGAACGCTAACGCCGAGCAATCCTCGGCCGACCACTACAATAGTGCTCTATTGTACGCCTATGTCCCGACCGCACAGGTCAACTCAGGCCAATGCCGATCAAATCTTGGCCAAGAACTAACTCGCTCACGAAGGTTCAATAGTACCGCGCGCCTAGGCCGAGTACTCTGGCACACAAAGAAACCGAGTAGTCCTCGGTCCTATCCTAAGTCGAACTCGAGCCCAACAGGTTTCCCTCCCGAGTACCCTCCTCAGCTAAGGATGTACCTAGGCCGAGCACTATGTACACGAACTGGCGCCTAGCAACCCTCAGCCGACCACTCCAAAGTGCACTCGAGCCCAACAGGTTTCCCTCCCGAGTACCCTCCTCGGCTAAGGATGTACCTAGGTCGAGCACTATGCAACACGGATAGATGCCGAGCAATCCTTGGCCGACCACTCAAACGCACCGAGTCCAATAGGTTTCCCTCCCGAGTAACCTCCTCGGCTGAGGACGCACCTAGGCCGAACTACACATTGTGCACATTGGACCGACCACTCCAAAGTGCACACCTAGGTCGAATACTATACACGTGCGCTATTGCATCGAGTAGTACTCGACCAACCACCAAACGCGTACTCACATCCAACACTAATTATACAATACGAAACCCATTAAATATTGGCCGAACAAACATAAGCCGAAAACTCGACAAGCTAACACTAATTATAAATTCGTGCTAACCGACACGTCACGAGTCGCGAAATTAATCCCTCGACAGCACATGCAAGTCGGCCTATGTCTATAAATACTAGGTATGAAGTTAAAATAAGGTATTTCATTAAAAAGGCCGATCAACACGGCTACTTACACAAAAAATCACGATCATTAACCGGCACCCATGACCAAATTACAAAAGGCACTGACGGCCCGGTTACAAAAGGATCAAAAAGAGCATAGCCCTACACAACTATCCTGCCTCTACCCTTACACCGCTGCTGAATCCCTGGGGTTGCCGCCGCCGACCACATCAATAATCAGGTCCTCCTCTGTTGCCGGTGGCGTCGGCACCCGAGTGGAAATTCGTCGCCGAGGAGCCTCTTCGTCCGGCTGGGCCCCTTGGGGGAACTCATCATAACTCATGAACTTACCTCCTAGGAAGTCTCGGCTGACATCGAACTGGAAGTCAGTCGGGACCTCGCAAAAATGATAAGCTTGCCGGACAGCATGTTGGAAACCGGCGTCGTGCTGGCTGAGGATCTGTTCAGTGGCCTCGGCCTCAAACTTAGCAGCCGCCTCTTTCAACCGAGCGATCTCGTTGATGGAGGCCGAGGCGTCGGTTTTCATTCTTTGAAGGGCCAACTTGAGATCGTCAGTCTCCTTTCGATAGGCGTCGGCAGTCTTCTTCAATTCTTCAACCGACTCCGTCAACTTGGCATTTGCGGCCAATGCATCCTTCACCGTGGCCTCGGCCTCCTTGAGTCGACCATGGAGACTTTCCTCCAAAATGGCATGCCGATTAATGACGTGCTTCGCAACGAGTGAGGTCCAAGTATCAAGCTCGCAAAAAAGTTTGTACGCGGCCTCGACAGACATGCCTTCCAAATATTGTAGCCCACCCCCGGTAGCAAGGTCCAGACCCACCAGGTTCTCGGTCTGAACATCAGGGGCAAGAAAATTCGAACCGACCACCACAACCAGAATGGCAAAGGCACCGCA